GACTCTGAAGGCTGTTTGCTGCAGTTCAGACACCAGGATTTACATACAGGCTTTCCAACTAAATTTTCCCACTGAGAACTTCTCAGTTTACTTGGACTTTGACAAAAAAAATCCCAAATCTCAAGGAGTGAGTACCATGAAAATTGGTGAAAACAGAGTACTCACTCTTTTTTATTGTCACAGACAAAGCCTCTTTGTGTCGAGTGTCCTTTGGGAATTGCATTGACAGCTGAGTTTTGATTTTGCTGTCTCTCGAGTAACAGAAATGCCATAGGTATCTTATACAAAAACTGATGGAGACYTTTTGTTGCAAATTTTGAAGGTGCTATCTTGTAGCTGAAGACTTACCAGAAAGTCAAAATTCCATTATTTATACTTTCCCTGTTTGGCTCATTTCTTTTTGATAAGCCATACATAAAAATGGCAACAGCAGGATTTTTTGGGTGTTGTCATCCTCACTTCATTGGTTTTGCACTACTGTTTTACACTGATTTATGTATCAGTGTAATGTATCTCATATGTGTGAGTCTGGAGCMCCTATGCCAGTGAAATAAAGGTTCTTTCAATATACTGCTTTTTATGCCGGTGATTATATAACATGGCTATAAAAACACCATTTCACAGACACAAAACCAGTTTTTGACTGAGAACTTTATGCTGAGATTTAGCCTGCAGCAGATCTTCAGAAATGAGCTGGAAACTGAGCATTTCCATTGCATTCAAAGAGCAAAGGATACAGCAGTTTGAGGGTTACACAATTAGAGGAAAATGCCTCCTCTTCTGTATACAACCAAAAATTATTTTACAGCATTTTCCAGAACTTGCTTCCTATGACGTTTGGTGAATTCAAAACAAAACAAAACAGACAGAAGGACTGAGATACAGATGTTATAAAGCTCTCTACAAGCAAAACCTATTTCCTTTCTCCTCCCCCTTAGMTAATTGCTCCAATTTCTCCTCCAGCTGAATTCAGATTATGTTTCTGTCTAACAGATGAGAAGCTTCATGGTATTGACTACATAACAGACATTTAATCATGTATTTCCTAGAAGAGATGAGGAAAAAAAAAATCCAAAAACAAAACTCAAATTGCTTAGGAAAAAAATAACTAGCATAAGAGGCTCTTGCTCAAATTTGTGCCTTATGAAGATGAGTGCCGTGATCTAAAAGACCTCTAAAGAAACCTCACACAGTCATAGAATGGAAATTATGACAAAAAAGCAAATTTTCTGTGACACAGCACTTTGCCACCCAGAGAAACCTGCAACACTAAAGGGGAGAACCCTTGGAAGGAAGATATCCTTCCCAGATTCAACAGAGGAGTGGCCAAATCTCCAGCTGCACACAGCTGGAAGAGGCACAGGCAGAGGAGCAGGGTGCAGCCCCTGTGCCCTCGCAGGTGGCAGGAGAGCAGGGGAGGGTGGCAGTGCTGCAGTGCTCACAGCCAGGGCTAAAGGACACACCAGGTCCCTCCAGCACACAGCAGCACCAGGGGAAACCTGGCACTGTTGTGTTGGTCACCAGGGATTCATCTACACTGCCATATCCTGGGCTGGGCAATCCCAATTTTACAACACTGTATTTGGGAGACTTGACAAGGCCCCTGCAGAAAACGCAAAGATAGAATTATCCAAGACAGTTTTTAGTGCTCTTAAAAAAGTTTGCTACAGTTTCCATCAGATCAATGCCACAAACTGGGRCCAAAAAGAAATATATATCCAAGTAGAAGCCATTTCTATTCTATTTTCTCAGTTTGTGGAGAAAGCGATGTTTTTCCCTCTGAATCAGTTTATCATTTTATGCAGYCAGCCCTGCCTTCTCTACTCAGAGTGAGGAGCAGAGCTGCCTCACCAGGGCCAGCCCAGAGAGTTACCCTGGGTGAAGGGGGGCTCTGCAGAAAGCAGCCTGGCCAAAGCATGGGGCTGARGGCTGCCACGGACTCTAGGGAAGGAAAACAAACTTTCCTGATTARCAGCCTTCAGGGTTTCTGCAAAACCAAGTCATGACAGACAGGATTGCAGAGGAAGAGAGAGTGGAAAGAAAGGAAAAAAACATTAACAGAAAATTAAAAACATGTTAGAAATGTGCCTGAAAGATGGGTAGAACCAGTGTATCAGCATGCTCCCAAAGAAATAGAAATATTTGGGACAGAAAAGAGTGTTATAGTCTCAAGCAATCACATTTCATGGTGTGGTTCCCTTTTTAAAAACTGTTGCCATGAGCTACTAGCASAGACTATACATCCATGTTAGGCATGAAAGCAGACATTCCAATACTAAAATTAGTATTATTATTATAAAATGCTTAATATTATATCATACTTAAAGGAGTAAAGARTACAAGTTTGGCTTGACTTGTTCACAAAGGTTTTCCTGCTGTTATGACCAGAACCACCCACATGAATGCAGAACTGGAAATGGACTTCTAGAGTCTCCCAAGATCAGGTTCTCCATCAGGATACATSCTGTCATAAATTGATAAATTCCATCTAAAAATAGGAAAGATTTTTGTCTCCATTGCTGTGATGAGAGGCCAAGCCAGATATCCCCTCCCCAGTGGCTGGAAGGCCCCCAGCTTCCAAATAATCYGCATCACTGATCAGTCCTTCCCTCCTTGAGGGAGAAAAAAGTGAAGATAACTGTTTCAGAAAGGAATAGGCATTAGCTTTAAAACACAGAGAGGCTGGGATTTGGCCTTTGCTGTGGATGACATTACAGCTGGGAAGGATGCATGGGTGGATCGCTGATCTGCTGTAAAGCTGCTTGGCTGATGAGAAACAGTGGCTCAGTGACAGCATTTGGTTTTGTTAGTGAGGATTTGTGTATTCAAAACACACAGAGCCTGTTTGYTCTTCGCTCTCAGAAACATCAGCTTCTGCTCCATATCAAAAGCCAAAAAATACATCCCTTTTTCATTTTTCATGTCATACTGAATTTTTTGGCTTATGAAATTATAAAGAYCTAAAAACATTTTAGTTTATAGCTACAAATAAATGTTTATTAGCATGACTTTTAAAAGTTTATGTATCTCACAATAAAATCTTGATACCTTTAATACAACAAATAATACTAATTTCCTTTCCTTCCTTGTTTTTCAAAGTTCAAACTGTATGTGAAAACAAAAGTTTATTTYCTTTTTTTTTAAACTGATTTAAAAACCCCCAAAATCTAAATCAAAAATAAAATTATTTCAAATTAGGTAAAGAAAATCAAAGTCCATAGCAGAAGTCTTTATACTTACTGCCCATATTTTTATACATTTACAAATTATGTACAAGGCATTTTACATTATTTTCTGTGATACAATTTATCTAAAAATGAAAAAGAAAGCATTCACTGTAAAATTAACTTCGTGTTCGGTGTCAACATTTGAGTGAGTTCACATGTCAAAACTAATGCAATCATTAGAAAATTTTCCTAATATTTTGTAATTTTAAATTTGCATCATTAATGTTTTAACCAACATACTGTTTCTTCTTAAATTCAGGTTCCTGGCTTGGGATGAATTTCTTTCATGAGCAAGYAGAAGAAAAACAGTGTACTGACTTTTCAAAAGCTTATTAAGCCACAGCTTCTCSCATGCTGGAGATATGCACATCATATGTGAAGTTTTCACAGAGCTCTGAGAAACTGAGATAAATTTCAAGTTTACTTCCACATCCCCACTTGCCCAATTTCCAGCACGGTTGAGGTCCAAGGTTTTGGCTGAAGCTCATTTCTTAATATTTAGCTAATTTAAATGCTAATTAGACTAATTTGATGAATAAAACATGGTAGTAATTCATTAACAACTATGCTGCGATTGCTTTACGTCTACAGAGAAATTTTCTAAACCAGGACTCCAGGGACAGCAGCGCATCTGTTCGCAGTTGGACAAGTTGGATTCTTGTAATACTGAACTTAGAGCTGGGAATACATTGCAGACCTGCAGAGAAGACGGAGGAGCAATTTCAAGTTTTTCAGATCTAGCATGTCTCAGACACAGGCCAACAATGAGGAAGAGCCCTGGTGCTGTCCTGAGCCCATCTGCCTCATGGGGTTTGATCTGAATTTCAGATGAAGAGGAAGAAGACGTGCCTCATCTCTGTCTCTCATTAYCTACTGGTGTCATTCCAGTTGTTCTGCCTGGTGTTATTGTTGCCTACACAAAGAAATTAAACCATTCACCTCATATCTGATGCTGTGGATAGACTTTTATGGTTTTATTGAGCTCTGTGAAGTAAGAGAGGCTCCAAAGAGAAGTAGATACAAACATAGATAAGATGATCTCTTTGGAAGAATAGGGGATTGTTTGGTTTTGGTTGATTGGTTGGGTTGGGTTTGTTTCTTTTTTATTTTTCTTTTGGTTTTGTTTGCTTTGCCATTTTTGGGTGAACTTTTTTTCACCTTTTCTGGTGGGGGGCAAGTATCAGTTCAGATCCCACCCTGCTAAAGATTTTTTCTGATAGCCAGAGTAGAATATGTAAGTGAAGAAACTCAAGGGCCTGCAAGCACCTGACTTCTTTGGAAGATCAATATATTTCATGTATGACATTTGAGTACAGATATGCATTTATATAGTTAATTCTGATTTAWAAAACCAAAACAAAACCAAAACCAGCGGTCAATAGAAACCTAAATAAGGTTGGGCATCTGTGTATTCCTGTTTCTTTGCCTTCATTTTCCACCTGTAAATATTTATCTCACAAAGGACCTGGAATGGCAAACATTACAGATAATAAGTGATGAGTTCAAGTATAGTAGTGATGGAGGCCATATTAACACACCATAATTAAAACAGGACAGAAAGGAATGTAGAGGAGGTTATCTGTATTTGGAATACCACTTATCAGTGAAAAAACTTTAAGTCAGCTTGCCATTGTTTAAATTAATTTCTTCACTTGTTTGTTTTGTTGGGGTTTTGTTTGTTTTTGGTTCTTTTTTGTTTAAATGTTTTCTCCTGAATGCTAGAAGTGAATGCAATTAAGTTTGTAAGTATTTCAGACAGAGGTCAGTACTCACTTCTACATGTTGACAGGTCTGAATGAGTTTTGCCAGAAGAGTTTCCAGTTCAGTATTCCTCTTGATAAGGTTGGTGAGGTTACTCTCCAAATTTTGCTGTTAAAATACAAGAAAAAAAAAATTAGCATTTCAAAGAATTTAATATGTGGTAGGTGAATATTTGAAAAATCTTATTACACAGGTATGAACATGAGACTTTCATACTGTTATGTTCCATTACATGTTTGATTAGATTAGATGTTTTGTCTATGCAAGACAAGAGAGCAGAAAAGTTCAAGATAAGAGAGAATTCTGGGARATAGGTTTTCTAAGAATCTCTTAAGAATTAGATTAAGCAATTAGTTTTATTCAAGGGGAAAAATGAGTAAGGAGAAGACCAGAAAAGGTAAGAACATTTCCCCCAAATAAATGGTTTCTTTTAACTGAGAACATTGTTGACTCCTTATTGTTAGACTGCTCTCAGTCTAACATCTGAATTTAAAAGCCTGCTGCTAACTGAGGTCTCTGAGATGATCAGCACTTGCTTCTTAGGATTCACAGTGCTGGGGGAGCAGTTGATCTATTTGATTTAATTCCCTAGTTCAGCAGTCATATTTTTTTTAAATAAATAATTCTAAAGACAAAGATCCTTTCTATGCATAAAAATGAAATGTCTCCTCACAAACTCTGCCTTCACTAACTGTTCTGAAGAGAGAACTTGTGGCATGTGTCTGTGTTTATCAACTGATTATGGCTGCCATAAATATCTGCAACTGCAGTAGAGCAAAGTCCTTCCCAKCTGACAGATCTGAGGCTCATCCTGGCTCTCTGCAATTGCATTGGAGATTGAGATCGAGCAATGTATGCTTCAGCCTCCCTTCTCCTCCTTGTATCTCCAGGAAGGAAATCYCAGCACATGAGGAGCAGGTCTGTGACAGCTGTGACCCACTCCCTGGTTACTGAACAATTCCAGAAGTGGGTCCTGTGCTTTTCTCCTGACAAGGGCTGCACGTGTCTCTGCACAACTTTCATTAATTTCAACCCTCCTCATCTTTTTTTTTAATGACCTTCTTTTCTCCACACTGCTGCTTTCCCTTTGGTGTACCTGTTGTATCATCTCAGTCCCTGCAGCTCCCATTAACTCACCTGACTTGTTTAATCCTCCCCCAACACCACCTCCATACACACATTTACAGTGTGTGTGTGTTTTCTGCTGATRTTACTCCCTGCCTATTTCATGCTGGTTTAAAACACTTTGTTCCTTGCCCTCTCTTTCTGCAGCTGTGCACTCCCCTTCCCATTCTTSCATAAGGCTACAAACACATGAAGGTGGCAGTATTTAATTGCTGAGTGATCCACACTTTGGCATGTACTAGGGCTGATGCTGCAAGCACTGCAGAGGCAGTCACTTGTGCTCCACTAAGGAAAGCACAGAACTTTGATGCCTTTATGTATATGACCCTTCCAAGAGGCATGATGGGTGTCTGAAATACATAATTTTGCCATTTTCTTCCCAGCAGAGCCATGGATATTGAGAGTGATAAGCTCTGGCTGTAAAAATGCCTTCTACAATACATTTATTTTATAACCCATTAAAACAAAGAGTAACAAGAATGGGCGTTTTTACTGAACCGTTTGTGCTGGATCCTATATTTCCATAAGCCATACTGTGAACAATCTCAATTGCAAGGGCATGTTTGCTGTGCTGTCAAATGTCCCTTTGTAGGGCTGAGACTCACATGCAAAATCAAAATATCATATATAATTACAGTATCAGATAACTTTTATCTTCAAAAAACAGTTTCTTAAGATGATCCAAATGTGCAAATACTCTTGAAATTTCATTTATATAATTTCTTAATATTATATATTATTTTTTTACATGTTCTAATATTTTACACCAAAATGTTTCAATGAAAAATGTGTATTCTAGTTTGAGGCTGTCAAATTTAAAATGTATTATTGGACATGAAAAATACTAACAGTTGGTTACATATACATAGTATAAAGAAAAAAATTTATTCAAAACAGTTGTGGAACACTGCAATGATTTTAAGCAACTGAAAGTTGTTGCTCTTCAACAAGGCCATTAATACTTGAAGAGTAAGCATTTTTCCCTGAAACAGAAATGTATTGACCCATACATTATGCATATAGATTATTATATTCAGGATATTACCAAAATCTGGATATAATAATCTATATTCCTGTATATATATATATATATATATATATATGTATATATAGGATGAAGAACAAAATCTTAGAATAAGTCTCTTGATAGGTTTCTTGATATCCTCTGCATTTCCTGACCATGAAAATGAAAGAAATCTACTAAACAAGTGAATTGCCTTAGAAAAMCTGGAGCTAATCCATTCCCATGCTCTAGTTCCTTAACTGTATACTTCTCAATATGGGAATTTTGTTTCCATGCAGTTTGGTATGCAAGAGATTGGGGATTTTAAGTCAAGAATGTTCAGAACTTGGTTAAATTTTTGCGGAAGAATGTAAATTTGTATTAATGCATTACAAGATAACAAGAACCCGGTGGCTGTTTTCTGGAATTAATGTCAATCTTTCCAGTTTCACTAGGGTAGTACTGAATGGCAGCTCTGCAAAGTGGCCTGATCTGAATGTTTGAAAGGTCACAAAACTTGATCAATTCCTGCAGTATGTTTACCTGGATTTTCTCCTGGCTGTATCTTCTTCTAGTACTTTCCCCTATTATCTTCCCAGACAGACCACGATGCCACTTTGGCTACCACACAATAGCAGGTACCTGAAGCAGAGTTTGAGCTTTGCCCTCTTTTTTCACTCTGTGTAGGGGGACACAGAAAAGGTCTGAACATTTAAATTTCAGAAGCAGATGTTTGCTCACACACTTTCCAAAGTGTTGCAACCTCTTTTCTCATCCACTCCTGGAACTTCCCCAGTTGTGTAAGACTACAGTGCCGGGTTTGGAGGTCCAGCTGACTTGGAAAATTAATCCAGTTTTTGTACACCAGAATTCCTGGGAGGGTGAATTGTAGCCAGGTGTGAAGTAAGTCTGAAGTAAGTGTGCTGTCCCATTATGATGAGTACATGGGATAATGAATAGCAGAGTAACCTTATTCCAATTATCTTCCTTCTTCCCACCCAATCTTCTACTGCTGTTCTATTGAGCAAACCAAATTACAATTGTATTTTTGGAAATGTTCTAGGTAAATGAGAATTTCTGAAACATTCACACCTGCCTTTTCTTATCTTTTTTAGTCACTGCTAATTTTCATTGTTAACTATCTATTAAAAACTGGTCTTAGAAACTCTGGTAGTTTGAGGTTTTTTTTTTTTTTTTTTTTTTTTTTTGAAAGAAGCACAACAGTTGCTCTGTGGACAGGCTTCATTCCTGTTAACTCAGTAGATGCAAACTGCTCTCAAAAAGCAAAAGCGAGGCTCAATGCTTCCTGACTTAGCAATGTACATCCAGCCCAAGATCTTGACATTCCATGCATACTTTGAAACTGTTTTTACAACATCCAGTATAAAGTGAAAAGAGTGCTTACTGTCCATTTAGCMTGGTCTGACAACTGTACAACATAAATATTTCTATAATCTTGGGAYAAATCCAAGTAGATGAAATCACAGACATGTAATTGAAAAGGACAGTTAAGGATGATGTTTCATTTTGACTCTGCATGCCTATAAAATGATATGATCCAGGGACTGGAGTCTAAGTTGGAAAAATTAATGCTAAAAACTAAAGGAAAGCAACTCAGGATTGATCACATTTTTAAGCTGCTGTCTAGCTCATGATCATGTTGCTGCTGAAGGCATGATCATGTTGCAGCAACAATTGTGTGAGGCTTGTGCCCTGATTGAAGTGGGAGGTCAGACTGGATGATCATAATGGTCTCTTCTGGCCTTTAAATCTATCAGTCTATGAAAACCAAATGTGAACCCATGGCCTTTGCCAAATTAACAGTCTCACACAAAGCATTGCTTGTCTGAAATAAGAAGGTAGCACAGATAGTCCTAAGCTACTACATGGGTTGGAAATGCTGTCAAAATAAATTAATGTAAGCTTCTAAAGAAAGGAAATGCTGAGTTGTGTGCTCCTGCCTTACGTCACAGCAGACAAAACAATAGCATCTCTGATCTTCTCAGAGATACTTTCAACAAAAAAAAGTCTATTCAAAATGCCACTGAATAAAACATAGAGCTGTCAGGTACAAAGAGATTTTAAAATTTTATCTAAAGTAAAGCAACWCTTCTAATGAAAAATATTATTTTCCTCCCATTGGTAAATACAAGAACTCATTTGAATTTTCCACTCACTGCTTACTGGAAAGCTTTGAGAACTGGTCCACTGAAACTGCAGAACATGCTAAGACATGCACTATGGATAGTGTAAGTAACAACAGCCCTGAGCACCATTTCTATCAAATCCACCATGATCAAAGCCTTTCAGCAGCAAACATTGACTGCAGTTTGCATTTCCCTTGATGCTGGTGTAKGAGTGACCAGAGTAAGTGTATTTAGAGAATATCTCCTGGTTTAAAGGACTTTACATAGTGGAAATTAGGTTTAGTAATTATATAGGTTTCACTGCCACCCTCCCATTTCCTTTTTACAGAACAGTAAAAATGAAACAGTTTATAAATGTTCAGATTGGGTGTGTTAAAGTGTGTAACTTAAATATATACAGTTACACTGTTGTAAAACATAGATGAGGAATAAAACACCGCAAAGCAGAAGTGTGATTGCACTYTAAGTTACTCAAGCCAGCAGGGAAACCAGAGTGGTGTTGATATGGTAGATCAGTCCTTTGCACAGGCTGGCTAGAGATCATAAATACCCTCCCTGTCACTAACACAGTCCATGCAAACACATCTTCACTGAAACTTTTTCCTCCTAATTCAAAGGCATTATGCTTGCATGTGCTCCAGTTATATTTTCACCTCATCACAGTGWCATACCCCATGAACTAGTCCTGTTGCCTCCAGGACTTGTGTCTAACCTATTAAAAAAGTTGCCAATCAAATCCAGAATAACTGCAATAATATCAAGCATGGTTTTGAGCCAGGTTTGGGGTATATGTGAGCTTAATGCTTCCTTTGGTGTTYTTTATTTAAATGGAC